TTGTTTCAGTCTATGGGTTAGCGATTTGTATAAGCTGTAGTTTTTGTGTAAGATTTATTTTGGGCGTGGGGTCGTGCATTCAGTTGTAAAGAGCACCCAGCTACAGTAACATAAAGTGCTGTGCATGTCCCCAGTGTTGTACATTACCAAAATTTGCACAAGTTTGAAAATGTTTTGCCGTCTTCTGCTACGTAACCAAGACGAACAGCGACCATTGAGCGCTGGAAGTGTCCGACGTGCCGCTCTGCAAACAGCGAGTGTGGAAGAAAACGAATTGGGACGCAGTTGAATGACAATGCAGTTGATCGCAAGAGGGAGAAATGTTTGAAATAAATATCAAAACAATTCATCCAACAATTAACCAGCTGACATTGTCATTCATTTGCCATGTTGGTATCAACCCTGCAGTCTGTGCACTCATGTATAAACCGAATTAAGGCTATCACAGGATTTACTGTTGAGAAAATCAACATATTATGATGATTTTTCTCTTTACTCATAATTTCAAATATATTCAGGGGGAAAATCCTTTAACGTGTCCTGGTGCTACTGCTCATAAGCAATTTATGCAGGAGGGAGCCTCAATACACCTGATGCAGAGCGAAACTCTCCGAGCCTGGTTAAAACATCCTGCAAATTTTGGGCCTTTCATCCTCGGCCAGTCAAGCGTGTCGGCCTCGGAAATGTTCTGCATGTAAACAACTCCGTGTGGACGTGGGGGCTGGAGGCGAGACCATAAAAAGCAGATTTTAATCACTTCGTACTCCCTGTCAAAATAATATGTGTAAATTAAGAGACAGGTATGAAATCACTCTAGCTAAAGGGCTAAAGGTTATTACACAAAATTACTAAGGAAGAGGAAATAGGTGTGGAAAACAGGCTTAATAGGCATCACGGCCAGAATACATCTTGAATTCATGACTTATTAAGATTATAACCTGCCCAGAATCTCGCTGTATTCTGTCCCACATTAACAATAGAAGTTTTCATTCTAACTGGCAGTAGTGGGACGACCTCTTGCGTCACCTGAACGAGGAAATGCTGCCACGTGAAAGCTTCTCTAGACAAATCCTCGAATAGCTCATCATTTTAGAAGCAAGGCGTTCAGATAGAACTAGGGTTTCCCTTTTTTTGGCTTTTTTAAATGTTTGAGGATATGAGGAACACTGGGCTACAGCAGGTTGCACTGATTCAAGATCAGCTGTCATTAGGGACGTGATAGATTTGTCTCTATTCTGCGAGGCCCCCTCTGCTGATCCTAAACTATAAACACAGACAGAGACAACAAGGTCAGGAAAAACAGCCAGTGGGTTAAAATAAAGGGCAAACAGTCCCAAAGCAAAATAGAGAGACTCTACCACAACACTCCAAAACAGTCCTTGTAGCTTGTATGGCTGCGTCTGCTGAGGAACGATCGGGGCCGTTAGCTCTAAAACTGATCCCAGTGCAACCGTTAGAGGTCGTGGGAATGCAGAGGAGGTTATACCGGAAGCCCCATGGCTGATCTGTGTGCTGTCTGAAGGCAGGACAGGCAGGCACTGGGTGCACGGGTGAGGAGAGGCTAAAACTGCACGCATGCACACACACACAAACACACACATGAGAATATAAACACACACAAACATGCAGGCACATGACTCCACCCAGAAGCCCTCCTCACACAGTAACCTTGTGTGTGTCGTGTGTACGTGTGTTTGCGTGTTGGTAGCAAGTGCAAAGTGTAGAGTACTTATAGCGTGTGTTTGTCTCACAACTCTTCCGGTAAATTCACATTTCTCAACCAGTTCTCCTGGTCCTCGGTGTTGGATCAGCAGGCTCAGTGTGCTCGAGGTTCCTTTGACGAGCGAAACATCAGCAACAGTTTGTCGTTTTTCTCTCCGAAAGAAACGCTTGTGAGGATTTTTCCATTTTTCCAAAGCAAGACAGTGTTTTCTTTTTCTTTTTGACGAACGTCTCTCCATTAAGCTGCGTGTGCCCTGTATGAGTGTGTTTCTGTGACCATTCATGAATGTGTGCACCTGTGTGTTATGTTCTTGTGTTTCTATACTAATGAGGAACAAGATGCCACATGGTCTTCTGGACAAATCCTCTAAAATAATAATTTAGCTGTTTTGGATCTTGCATCAATTTGATTCTGTAAATTGATTCTGAAATTAGTGTTTCACCACAAAGTGCATTTAAGGACATGTTGCCTGGCGTTAATGGACTTTGTGTGAGGTTTCTTAGTCATTTGAACGTGCAGCTGCCTCTCATTCTCTCTGCCTGTTTCACGCTCATTGTCCTTGTCAGTAAAAGCAAAAATATATATAAGAATAAATATAAAATAAACAGTGATGCAGTGAGAAGTAAAAAAGCAACTCACACATCGTAAATATATAGAAATACTGTTGGTATGTACCTGTTAAGGCAACATTATTTTATTTTAGGCATAACAGGACATCCTGGTCCAAGTTCTGCAAAAAACACGACTTCTATAAAGTGTCAAGTGTTTTTTTTGTGCAGACAATCCAGGTTTAAATCTGATATATTTTTGAAACTGGGCATACAGTACAATTTCAGGCAGTTTTTTTGACTCTGACTTTAGATTGAATTTGCCTTGTCGTGCGTCGCCTGTCATGCAGTGCACAGATCTAGCTTTGAGCCATCAGCTGCTCCTGACTGGTGGATGAATTTCTGACATAAGGAATTTCGTTGTTAATCTCTCACACAGTTGCTGCAGAGCCAGAGTTAAAATTTAACATTTTCAAAATCCAATTTAACAATAGAGCATCCAACAAAGCTGCTGAAAACAGGTTCATGTTCGCCTGTAATGCCTTGAGTCAAGGTCAAGGCTCAATTTATATGGTCAACACGTCCTCAGTAGTATAGTAACCTTACTTTGAATGCGTGTGTATGTGTGTGCATTGAGTTGGTTAGGGTTCACGTCTACGAGAGATCGTCCAAACGCTCCACCGTCTCCTCTGTCCTTCCTGTCAGAGGCTTCAGATGTGATCAGAACAACACAATCTCAAAAACCACATCAAAGTAGAAAATGAATCTAGAATAATATAATATTACAAAGACTATGACCCCTGCTCCCCGACTCTGCTCCCATCGATCACCCCTCCCCCTTTAATACATTAATTACTATAATATGTGACAGAGTTTTTTCATCCTCTGCACAGTGGCACCTTTAGAATAGAATAATCTTTTTTACTAATAATACAATTATTTGTTGTTGATATCAGAGTATCAAAGCTGTACGTATGGTAGTAATAAGAGATAGACAGAGGTCTCGTCTCAAAAAGCACCCTGTGCTCTATTGGAGTAAACATCGTTAAAAACAGCACAGGCTCGCGGGCCCACGCTCCCTTGTAAGGCGTCTTAAATGTAGCAGTCGAGTGTCCCTACAGAGAATAGAGATTAGGGTGCCATTTGAGACTCGATTAGAGATACAGCAAATGTAAGCACTGGAGGCGGATGGATATGGCATGCATGGTTTGAAAGGTCAATGCTGACATGGCTCATGGATGGCAGTTCTGAACTTTGACCCCTGGCAGACCCTCAGGATCCGAGGGGACCTTGATGTGCGGAGCTACATAACTACTACTGCTGAGTCAGTGCACGGCTGGAAATCCAATGCCCGCAAAAAAGTCTTTAGAGCAGCAAACCTATAGATCTATAAGCTAACCTGGAGGCCATGATACACAGGAAACACTTTGAGTAATATTTGGCATCAAGTGCGGTAAGCAGTATGTTGCTAATATACGTTTAATCCTTGAGCTAACTCAAATAATTCATATTAAAAATGTTATCCTACATCTGCTTAAGGCAATATTCTTCATTTCTAATTATTCACAAAGTTGCCCATGTAACCTAAAGGCAGCCCAAAACAACTAAAGGCTAACCTGTTGCTAACGAGCAGACGAGTACAGTTGTCCCTTTCTATCTACCCCACTTCCCCTTTTGCATGAAGCATGTTTTATCGCCAGTTAGCTATTCAGCTGTTTTAAAAACAGTTGTTCCTGTGCAAATGTACTTTGCCATCCCTTCCCGCGATCCGACATAACACCCTTAACACGTCATCTCTGCAGTGCTGAGCATAAAAAGCCCTTGTGTGCTCCTGTCCTTTAAAAATTAAAAGCCCTTGCTCGGAGAAAAGCATTTTTTTCCCCTTTCACAGCCCATGACAACTGCTGATGTTGTAGTTAGCTTGCAAAATTAATATTTACACGCGAAGGACAGCGAGTGCAAGTCCATCTCGATGCACGTTTGTCCCTTTAAGCTCCCTTTATGGCGCAAAAGACAGGAGATAAAACAGCAGCGTCATAAATTAAACAGTGTGACTGAGGTTGGAAACATCTTTCGGTATCAGGGTGATAGCCCGACTGTGTGACCGTACCAGCTCGGTGTTGTTCCATGTTTAGTTTATACAAAATAGTGCAATGGTGGAAACAAAAAAAATGCATTTTCTCCTCTACACCCGGAAAAAAAAGTTTGGACTTAAAAAGTAAAACATTGATATTCGTGCTCTCTTCCTGCAACATGTTTTCTTGCTTTTTGTTTTATGGCTATTTTGCCTCCTTCTCTCTTGTCCACAAATAATTCACCTGAAACCAGACACTATCTGTTGCAGTGTTGCAAAGTAACCTGTGACTTTTAGGGGATTTTCTATGTGTTGCAACAAGCTGGGTTGGAGATTTCTGTATCGACAATTTGTCAACAGTTATATTGGACAGAGGTAGTAGTAGATTACCAGTGAGGAAGTGGCTGTGCACATAAGGGCTACATATACAGTATGAAGTATAATCATACATATACGAGTTAAGTTATACTGCAACAAAGGCTGAAGATGTGCAGATAGTTTACTGACATTATCTTTTCAGTGTGTGGGTGTGGAAGTGATCAGTTCCAAGTCAAAACAGTAGAGATTCTGTATTTAACAAACCTGTTCATTCAGATTTGTGTATTTTTAGAAACACAAACATTTCACAGCCAAATTTCTCAACCACAATTCCACCAACTAACACATTTCAGTTTTTAAATACACCACTGCATAAACTGGAGGTTTTGTGCGCGCCTCTCGTCTCTCCTCTTATCTCTCACTTTGTCGAATTCATTAGATAAGCGTATGGAGTCAAGCCTTTTGTTGCGCAGCAAAATCAGAAACCAGCTCCTTGCTTCATTTTCTGCTCTGCTCTGCAGGACTCTGATCACACGGGCAGTAGAGTCCGCACAGAAACACTTGTCTCACTGTAAATCACGAGAATCTCATGTTTCTGATCTATAGTTTTTTAAAAAATCTCATAAATGCTAAAATGCTTTTAGTCTGTAGTAGTATGTTGCTTTTTTAAAATTCCATCCATGGAGTATGTTTATGTGTGTATGTTATAAATGGAGATGCATTGATGTCTCTCTAGAATCTGGTACAGTAGTTTTGAAATTTGACAGAGCCATGACAGCTTGTGCATGTCATCGCTAAGAGACCCGTGAAAGACATGTTAAGGTGTGTGTATGTGTGTGTGTGTGTGTGTGAACCTATGAGGGAGATAAAGAGGAGGAGAGGCTGTGAGTGACAGCTGAATGAATGAGCTACACATCACCCTCATAATGCAGCTCCATCTTTCTTTATGTTGTTTGCCACAAACAATCCTCCACCGGAGAAGAGAGATGTGCACTTTTAGATTTTTTCTCAGTGTTTATTTCTGCAGCTGAAATTTCTTTAACAATAGTTTTCCGACAACTTTATATTAAATGAATCTGATCGATATTCACTAAGAGGTAGTGGGCAAGCAATAAAAAAAAACAAAAAAACTCTTTGTCTGTTAAATGTTTTCTCTTTTTTGGCTCTGCCTTAAAGCATATTCACAGCTCAGCGGTCTCCCCTCCACAGCACCCTGAACCAACAACCTCAGGAAAACTAGTCTACGAGCGACACAGACGGAAGACGGGGGCTAAATCTAGTGGCGTGTGTCCCTCAGAGGACGGAAAAGGGTGAGAGGAGGTGCGGAGGTGCGCGGAGGGTGGCAGTGAGGTGAGTTATGGGGCTACACAGAAAAATGTGGAGGGTGAAAGGTGATAAGTGAAGGCAGACAGACAGACGGACACGTATTTGATCATCTCTTTAAGCTTCAGGTGAAAAAATAAATAAATCAAGAGAAGACTTGTGTGCCCGAAAAAACAGGAGTAAAAGGAAGCACCAATGATCTAACATTACCATCTAAAAGAGATTCATTAATTCTGTTGAGTTACACCTTTTCCCCCGCTGACAGCTAATCTGCAGTCAGTATGTACTCAAAAAGAAAAAAATCGGTATGTAGGTTTGACTACTGACCTGGGATCAGAGCGATGGGGGCAAATGTTACCAGGAAGGAGCTTAATTCAGTTTCAGTTCAGTTACGAAGTGAGCGTCTCCATGATTAAATCAAAATCAATATGAAAGGAGTATATATACAATATGAGTAGAAATAATAACTAGTGCCACAAATGTGCTGCCGTAAAATGGACAAACTGCATCTTCAATTTTTCTTTCAAATCCAGCTGAACTGAAAATGAACCAATCCCTTTCCTGAGGTGTTTCACTTTTAAATAGCATCTTAATGGGAGAGACAGCTCAGTGCCTTAAGGCCTGTTCCCTGCACTGATCCGGCTCTGCTGCCATCCAAAGGGTCCGGAGGTCAGAGGTCAGAGGGTCAAAGATCACACAGGGTCTCTCACCTCTTCCCTCTTCTCCATTACTTCACATTATTTTCATTTGTAGGAGAAGTTGCCCCGGGACTGTAAACCACTTACGATATGCTTTCAAAAAACATTTTGTCAAGTTCAATCCTGTTTCCCCCTTTAAAAGCCAATTCATGAACACAAAAGGTCATGAGCATAAATTGAATGTGCCTTCACGTGTAAGGAGTCACAGGAACAACTACAGTGATATGTGGTAAAGTGGAGTTGGGAACAACTTCTCCTTTCGAAACTCCCCGCTACACACACTGAATCTCTCACAGGGCTCAGGATTCACAGTTCAAAGGCTAAAAGTTCACAGTTCACAGTCGAAGTTTATCAAACCCCCTTCCCACCCCGTAACCCTGCGTGGCCCCTGCTTTTGCTAGCGCCCCCCGTGTATTTTCCCTCATCCTCCACTTTGATACTCTGATTGGTTGATATCTGCAGCCAGCACCTCTCAGACGGGCGTGGTCCTGCGGTTGGGGTCCTTGTTGTAGTCTTTAGTGAGCGTGCTGCTCTGGAGGAACTCCCTCTCCGAGTTGAGCAGCCCGCCCATGCCGCCGCCAGGTTTGGTGCCGGCGTTGCCTGCCTCGCGTGGGTTCAGCGTGTACATGGGCATCTCAGAGGCGGCGGGCCCCGTGTAGCCACCTTTCCCCAGGGGTGAGGCATCGCGGCTGGGGGCCTCGGACGAACGCACGCTGGAGCGGCGCCGGAAGCGGTAGCGGTAGGAGGGGATGCGGCTGAAGGCGGACTTCTTGATGAGCTCGGTGCGGGACTTGGCCCGTAGCTTGCGGTGCTTCTCGATGAACATGTGCACGGCCAGCACGCCCACCATTTCTGCCATGATGAAGGAGAGGGCGCCAAAGTAGAAAGACCAGCCATAGGAGTAGGACTTCTTGCTGTCGCTCTGACCCGGGTCGCCCGAGTTAGCGGAGATGTAGACAATAATTCCAATGATGTTACTGAGGCCTGAACGAGAAGAAAAGAAAGATAAAATGTACATGTCCCTCTCCAAGTGTTTTAGTTTTTATTAAATTGTTTTTTTATCCTTTTGTGAAGCACTTCCTATACTGGTAAAATGTTAATCATGTCCACCATCATATTATGGACCCTACATTTGCTAATTCACATTTAAGTCACGACCAGAGCGGTGGAACGACTGACCGATGCCGTCATCCATCACAAGTTAGACGATACAAAGGACGACGCAGTAAAGAGTAAAAAGGAGAGAAAGGGTTCCAGAAGAGAAGTGGAGGAGAGAAGTAAAAGAAAATGTGAAAAAAGAAGTAAAGAGAGCAGGGCAATCTGAGAGAGAGAGAGGGAGTGCAGCTCGATGGAAACACTGCAGAGAGTCATTGCACACAGCTGGGCTCTCTTATTCCATATCATTAGTCCACAGTACAGTGTTCATGCAGTGTGGTGGAACGCACAGAATGGGGACAATTAGCCAGCTGTAATTAACCAGAATCAGCCCCACACTATTGTGGTAAATAATTACCAATTTGGCTTCATAAATTTACGACAAATCCTAATGGGACCCTACACATCCCACTGAACAGCAATTATAGCCTTTGTGTGTCAGGGGCTAGAGCATAAGCGTGTGTGTGTGTGTTTTTACGACAGACTGTAAGTGTCAGCATCCATGTGACAGATTATGTGTGTGCGTGTTTTATGCATGTTTGCTCTCTCACACCGTCACAGTGCATCACAGCGGCATCGTGGTATTCTTGGTGATTGATTAATCAGCTGCAGTGCACAGTTTCAACACTCTGTGTGTCTTAGATGCCTGACGGGCTCCTTCTACAAATATTTGACTGTCGCGTGTCCTTTGCTTCAAGTGGCTGCACAGTCTCAGAGGTACACACACTCACAGAGACACACAACGCAGCCCCTCGCCGCTGTCTCCAATACAGTGACCATTCCTCATATCTGGCTCCAATTTTTACAGTGGAGTGAACTTTCTGCATCTAACTCTCTGTTTATTCCTTTCTGAGCAGCCAGGTTGTGTGTGTGTGTGTGTGTGTGTGTGTCTCTCTCTCTCAGGTTGTCTTCAGGGCCATCGTCTGTCCCGGGACCTCTCTCCCTCTCTCTGCGCCTCATTCCAGATGTTATGGATCCTCCAGGAGTCCCAGCCTCCTCCTTATCTCTCTCCTTCTGTGTGTTTGTTTTCCTCTCCCAGAAAAATGAAGGATGTCCTTGATTTCGCCTTTTGTATGTTAGTGTAGTTTGCTGCAGTACCTTTTTTTTTAAATCAAATATTTTTTCTAAAAAATACTTTATATTTCCAATATATCACATAATAAAATAGTTATTATTATTATTATAAAATAACATAATGTATAAAGTGACTAAAGAAACATGCTTTGTTCTGAAACCCACTTCCTGTTAATATAATGTAACATAAAGTGCACTGATGGCTGACTGCACTTCCAAGCTATACAACAAGTACAGAGACAAACATTCACACAAACACACATGTGTACAGACACACTAACCTGCGGAGACGAAGAAGATTCCAGCACTGAGGATGACGTTGTGTCGGCTCCGGTAAAACTCACTGGCGGCCACACAGAGCCCCCCCAGGAACAGCAGACCCACACTCATGATGGGGAAGATACTGGAGGCACGCACAGCACCTGCACACACACACACACACAAACCAAACCACAACATTTAAACATGCCGCATTTCAGACTACACAGAATGTGAGAGGTGCAGAACGGAAGAGGGAGTTTTATCGATAGAACAAGGTCTGGTTTTGGGGACAAATCTTAAATACCACATATATAGCTTTCAAGTTCATGTTTTGTTTTATTTATTTAATGAAAGTGATGAAACATCATGATCGACAGCTGAGTCTGACTCGATTGGTCGAGTGCACGTGTCAGTGGGACCTTGTTACAGTGGCTCCTCCCCCGATAGCTGCATCACAGCATCACAAATATCCTGTTTGTGTCCAAGATATTAAGGTTGAAGTTCTGGATAGGAACGGAGGAAGAGGAGACGTGTCGTCCATCTTTATATACAGACTAAGGAAACATTCAGGTTCACCATGTACATGAAGTTTAGAGATTATGTGTAAAATGGCTACAATGAAAAGTAAATGTTCCATTTTAAATCCACTGTGCTGCAGAAACAATGAAAAATGTGTCACTTCCTGTAAACACACACACACACATACACATACGCACACTCACACACTTGAGACATGCACAAACACACAAGCCAGCGTGCTACTACACGCATGACTGAGTCTGAATCCAGAACATGTTAAAGCATTCAGAGGCCTTGAGAGAGAGAGAGAGAGAGAGAGAGAGAGAGAGGGAGGATGAGTGGATGAGAGAAGGATGTAGAGCAAGAAGATGGACAAAAACCAAGACAGATGGAGAGTCGCACTGACACATATGCAAGGCAAAATAAGAAGTATGAAAGCGAGGCTGCAGTTGGAGTGGAATCTTTGCCAGGACCCCATATGTGTTCATGATGTGACAGCATATTGACGGATATTTGCAAACAGCTTCTCATGCAGAACAGAGATGTGCGTTTTTTCCATTTACATATGTTTATATATTTTCAGTACTTCTGCATGTATCAGCTTTTTCCACTATACGAGTCACTGATTATAAATGTAATTTCTTTATGCCTTTGTCTTATTACATTCCACAACATATCCTGTGTGACTGACAGCTGCTGTGACCAGTGGCGTTGTGCGGTTGGGTGTACAGACCCCACCCCAGTGGCCCACACCCCTGGGCTGTATGGAATGCCGGTCACTAGGTCCCCGCTCCCCATTGGCTGGCCGGCTCTGAGGCCTGTGATCTAATTGGCTGCCTCTGGGGATGTTGTTCTGTGTTCAGTGGAGCAATGAGAAATAGGCACAGGCTAAATCTGTTTTCTCTTTCTTTCTTGTTGCCGTTTTCTCATTCTGTCCATCTTTTCTCCATGTTTACTGAGGGAGGAAAACCAGAGAGAGCTTCCTCCACCCTCTCCATCTTTGTGACTGCATCGTTTTTACTTCTGTCCTATTACTCTTTTGATGTATCCAGAAATAACAAGGCACTTCCTCTTTTATTCTTATCTGTCTATTTCTCTCATGTATTTGTAGATAAAACTCAAACATCTGTTTATATCTCTTCTTCTCTCCATTTTACCCTCTGTCCATCCGTCTCGCTCGTTTCTGGAGCTGAAAGATGAACAATAAACAGAGGATCTCTGACATCCAACTATTTACTCATTTTATCTCATCTGCAATGATTTACTCTTTGCTGTGTGTTCATGACTCAAACCACCACAGACGACCCTTATTCACATCGGTCCAAGTTCACGATGGATATCCACACGTGTCATGCATTGTGTTTTCATATCAGACTTACGTAGGAGGTATTCAGCAGCATCTGCTTCATAGTCAGCATCTTCTGGGAAGTGATCAATCTTCTTACACACTCCTCTGAATGTTCCTGCAGCAGAGAAACACAAATCCGTTCAGTTCAGATCTTTAATGTCACACAAGAGGAAAATCTGAGTGAGTGAAATTCCATTTCTGCTAATTAAAAACAATGGATTTACAGTGGTCATTACAATTTGGAATATTATTAACCACACAGACAAATCCTCAGTGGAAGTCAACATTGATCTGCATTAACTCGTTCAATCCATCATCCTGGTTTGAAGTATTTTAATCCTGTAACAGTCCAACTGCAGGTCAGAGATCTCCACGTCTTTGTTGAGATTCAATTCAAATTGTACACATGGTCTCTTTTAATGATATAAGCAGCCACTGGATCTGGTAGCCACAGACACATGAATGTATCAGGTAAGAGGTGCAGCTTCAGTTGTGTTTTTTAATCAAATGACTCATCAGATGAATTGTGTGTTTGATTTAAGCATCGTGTCGACAATGACTCTTCAGTGAACATACATCCTGTACACAGACATGAATTTACATCAAAAGCAGATACAGCTGGAGAGAGAGAGATAGAGAGATAGATGGATAGGGGGGGGAGATAGAGAGAGGGAGAAATATATATATATATATATATAATTAGAGAGAGAGAAATAGAAAGAGAGCTAGATAGATAGAGAGATAGACAGATGAAACAGGGCTGCAGCCTTCAGGCTTTGTGTGGAAAACACTAATGAAAAGCCTTATCGCACACTCACACACACACACAGATACACACAAACACACACACAACTTTGAATACAAAACCACACACAGATATGAATGAACACGATCAATCATGGATGTAAGTAAAAGCCTTTAGAAACCTTTATCTATATTATATATATGTGTATGTCAGTGTAGTGGTGCGTGTGTGTGTGTGTGTGTCTGTGTGTATGTGTGTGTGTGTGTAGTATTGACTAGGATGCAGTTCCTACGAGTGTGTGACAGACAGAGTGACTCATTCTCCTCAAACACACATGACCATACCGTATGTGTGTGTAAGTGTGTGTGTGTGCGCTAAGTGTAGCTTCATTCCCACCCATCATTCAGACCCATTCGCACATGGTCAACACCACAGGGGATATGAGAGAGAGAAGGGTGGGGGGGTGAAAGGAAGATGGAGGAGGAGGATGAAGAAAGAGGAAGTGCTGGTTGAAAGAGGTGCGGTGGTAAAATGGCGCGGGGGGAATTGGAGAGAAACGGGAGGATAGAGGCTGGTGATGAACAAATGAACAACTCAAGCTAATTGCTTATTTGCATATGAAGAAGTTCTTTCCAGGAGCCAGAAAATCACTCCCATCGATTCGTGCGGCATCGTGGAGTTGTGGTCGTAACTTTGACTCCGGGTCACTGAAAAGTTTGAAATCTGGATTTTACAAAGTAATTCTGTAATATTCAGTAAAACGTTTCATGCTAATTAAAGTGGCATTTACTCAATGACAAGCTGTAATTCAACAGATACACAGACGCACGGTGCAGAGATAATCTTTGCACAACCATTTACTGCTGAAATGAAAACCACAGGAAAATGAAATATAAATATAAATATATAGATAAACTTTGTATTTCTCGACCACTCCCACACGGTCTTACTTGCAGGGTTATATTTATTTGACATTTCAGTGCTTCATCAGACAGAGTAACACAGGCTGAAATTCTCGGGTTCTGTTGTGTTAATACTTTGACTGGTTGCTATAATTGAGAGCCTTAAATAACACTGATGATATCACAGATTAAACTATTTCAATTACGAGCCTGGTGTTATTCTGTATTTGGTTATTGACAACAAGCCCCATAAAAAGAGCTAAATCAACAAGGCCCCAAAGGCTTAAAACCAACAAACACACAAGCAAACCAATAAACAGACAGCAGGTAATGACGCTTTGTTCTCTATCATCATACTTCCTGAGCCTGTGTTCGCAACCTCAAACCCTCAAACTTTTCATTGAGGTCAAGTTGTTGTTGGTTTTAGTCTCTTTATGGGAGTTGTTGAATGCTGCTTTGCTTTATCTGATCACGTGGCCTCGTGTAATTGGATGATAGAAGCTGTGGAGTCACAGAAGGTAACTGAGACCTTAGCTGCCCCTGCCAGACACATCAAGGTGTAAAGCATCATCAGTCAGAGCTCTGCCTTGTGTTTGTCAGCCAGGGAATTCATTATAGCTCCTGCCTTTTAAACAGACGGATTTGTATTGAACCGTTCTGATTTATGGAGCAACAAACGGCCTCACACAATGACACGGAGAATAGGAACAGAGAGATATAGGGCTGCTTTTATTTCACTCTCTGTGGCCTAAATCACTGCCGAATAAACAGTTTAAAGTGGACACACACAAGGACACACAGACACTCTAATAACACACGCTGAGTGCACCTGGTGTCGACACACTTCAATATAGATTACTTTAACAGCATTAAAAAGACAACAGCTATACAGCTACTTCAGGAAATCAACAAAAAAGGTTGCTGAGAGGCTGAGGTCAGGAATACGTTAAAAAGAAAATTGTACGCAAAAAAATAAACATATCACAGTGACAGTGTTCTGAGAATATCAACATGAAAAAAATCTTTTTTGTGTCTAATAGTGCACAAATTGATCGTCACCTTGTAACAACTGTGACGTGAGGTTTCCATGTGTGGTGGCTGGAGCGCTGCAGACGAGAATAAACAACAGGATGGAGAAAGATTTCCTTCTAAAGCAGCAGCACGTCACTGTTTTCTTCAGTACCTTCACAAGCTGCTTCGTCTTTACAATGTCACCACACGTCACATGTGTGATAATCAAAATAATTTCTTCTTCCTAATAAGGTCAATAGTCGCACTCCTGGTGTCCATGTCAACACCACTCTTCTGTCAGATATAATCCTTATGTAATTAAAGTTATATTATTCCGCACCACAGTGAGGAACTAGAAGAAACTGCCCATTGCTACCATTACACATTCACTTGAACACACACTGACATGCTGCGCATTTGTAATCACGGCCGACTGTGTCACACTGTTGTTTGTTCCTCTGAGGTCATGTATCAGTGGTTTTCGGCCATTTGTGTGCATGTATGAATGTGTGTTAAGGACATACCTTCCCTTTTTTGGTCTAATTAACTACAAAACACACACGCACACACACACAGCACGCGCAGTGGGAACATCTATCAAGAGACATTTGCCTAACAAAGGTCAGGGTGGCCTGAGGGTAGCTGCAACCACAGTCGCAGAAAGGCATTATGGGTCGTGGCCAGTGGGGATGGGAGTCCAGTGTGCGCCTGTGTGTGTCTGTTTGTCTTATCTCATGTGGCACAGGGCTTAGTTTCTCCTGCTGGGCCGAGTGTGCTGCTCCTGTCACTTACATTCAAACACATGCACACACATGAACATGGCTGCGCCCCCTAGTGTACCATTAAGAAGCATGTAAACGCATGATGCTGTGAGTTCAGAGCATTTATGGAAGAATACAATAATCATAATAATCCCATAGGTCTCATTAACTGTTATATTAACTTTTACCATTGGAGGTTATGTTTTCACTCCGTCCATGTGTTTGTTTCTTTGTTCATCAGCATGAATGTCGTCATATCAAGTTTGACAACTCGTTTGAATTCAACTTAATCTCAAATATAGGTCAACTGTATCAGTGTAGTCCCGCTGGTAAAAGTACAAGTGATGTAGTACGCATACCAACGAGAAAACCTGGAGCCTGAATCAAGGTTAAAAAGTAGACAAACACAAAAAACTGTTTGTCAACATGCCCCCATGATTGTGACACTGCTTGTCCTTGACACACACACACACACACACACACACACACACACACACACACTGGAATACTCTAAATTACATGACCCCGAAAAAAGTCACATATTCATGTTTGAAACAAATCTGCATCCCAACAAACTTAATTTTTCGGGACCTTCTCAATATCACTCAACCTTGTTCTCAGACAAGCTGCTAATCAGATGGCGTGTCGTCCAAACGCTGCATGTGAGCGGCCACATGCGCTCAGAACACAAAGGGTTTCGTCAACTAGAAAACAGAAGAGGAAGGGGTGAGCGAGGGAAACGGGGAGGAAGTTGAAAAGCAGAGCAAATTGGACTGCTTGTTTCCTCAGAGCGCCTCTGACAGCTCAGTGTGGGTGACTGTGCCTCTTCCTCTCCCTCGCTCATTCGCTACCTCTCTCGCTCTCTCTGATTACCTCGTTCCAGGCGAGGGAGAAAGAGAGAGAAGGAGAGAGAGAGAGAGAGGCAAGTTTCCACGGTGATGGCTGATGAAAGAGAACGAGACAGGTTCTGCTTGGTTGCACACCTGTCCTCTTTCTCTCTCTTCTTTCTCCCTTTTCTCTGTCTGTTCTTCCTTAAATCCACCCATGTTTCTCCTCTCTCTCTCTTTCTCATTCCCCAAAACATCTGTCTGTTCCTGTTTCAGGTCTCCTCATCAACCCTCCTTTACCTGATACTTCCTTTGCTCTCCTCTCATTCTTAAACTTCCATTCATCCCTCCTCAGTCTCTCCCCTCATCCTCTCTTCTCTCTTTCATGCACGCTTCTTTCTAGCGTCAGTCTTCAGTGCACGGCCAAAAGTATGTGGACACATGAAGGTTACACCCATGAGTTGAACGTCTCACCCTCCCCCCCTAAAAACCATGGACATTAATATGTTTCCATAACAGCCTCCATCTGGCTGCACTCGGCTCTAATTCTGCATCAGAACATCTGTGAGGTCAAACACTGATGTTGAGGCCTGGATCTCCGTATGTGTTCCTGTTCATCCCAGAGGTGTTGAACAGGATTGAGATCAAAAGCAAAATGATTCCAACATTTGTTCCTCTTTTCTTTGTCTCTCTCTTCTTACATTAGATGTATTTGCACAAACCTTCCACTTCTCTCTCCTCCCTCACATTTTCTCTCGCCCCCCCTACCTTTACTTCAGTGCCGCCCTGTCACTTGATTATTTCTCTCCCTGACACGGTCAAACACCCAACATCTTTAATTAATACCTATCTCCCTGTGCAGTGACCTC